GCGGAGGTGAAAGGACTGCCTGAGCCCAGGGGTTCGAGACCAGCCTGGGCAACTTAATGAGACCTCATCTCAAAAAAATAATACTTCTTCAAAGTTGCTATTACTCCCTGCTCCATAGGCTGGATGAGTGACGTAGTGTTTGGTGACAGATACACTACTTTGACGTTGAGATGAAAAGTTATCCATAAATGGAAGGTAGCCCAGAGCACTGTCTAGCAGCAAAAGAATGTTGACTGCGACATCCTTCTCCAAACAGTATTTCTCTACCTCCAGGATAAAGTGGTGGAAAAACCAGTCCTGGAAAACTGCCTGTGTAACCCAGGCTTTGGGGTTACTCTTCCACAGAACAGAAACAGAACTGTTGCCTGTCTTTAAGGTCTCCTGGGTTCTCTGAATGAAAAACTAAGAGAGGCTTTGGCTTCATATTGCCAGAAGCATTGCCACCAAACAACAGAGTTAGCCTATCCTTTGCTGCTTTATTGCCTGACATCAACTTTTCCTCCTTACTGACGTAAACTTTGCTCTCGCATCCTTTTCCAGGACAGTCCTGTCTCATCCACATTAAAAATCTGCTCAGATAAATATGCACCTTCATCAATAATTTCTCGAAGGTGGCCGGGCTCAGTGGTTTAGCCTGTGATCATAGCACTTTGGGAGCCCGAGGTGAGTGTATTGCTTGAGCCTGTGGGTTCGAGACCCGCCTGGGCAACTTGGCGAGACCTCGCCTCTACAATAAATAAAAAATTAGCCAGGTGTGGTAGCATGTGCCTGTAGTTCCAGCTCCTTGGAAGGCTGAGGTGGAAGGATCGCTGAAGCCCAGCAGGTCGATGCAGGGGTGGCTGTGGGAGTGCCACGGCACTCCAGCCTGGGCAATGAAATGAGACTCCAACTCAAAAAAAAAAAAAAAAAATTCTCTAAGCAGTTCAGGAACTTCCTGGGCAGCTACCCTATCTGATCTTGCTGCCTCATCACTTACTTTTACGTTGTGAAGGTTGTCTCCAGTCTTGAACCGATGAAACCAGCCATGGCTGGCATCCAAAGATGTGCCCTCGGCCCGATGTGGTGGCACAGCCTGTCCTCCCAGCACTTTGGGAGGCTGAGGCAAGAGGATTGCCCGAGCCTGGGGGGTTCAAGACCAGCCTGGGAAACTTGGTGAGACCTCATCTCTACAATAAATCACAAAAACTGGCTGGGTGTGGTGGCGTGCATCTGTAGTTCCAGCTGCTTGAAAGGCTGAGATGGAAGATTTGCTTGACCCCAGCAGGTCAAGGCTGTGGTGGCTGTGAGTGTACCACTGCACTCTAGCCTGGGCGGCAAGAGTGAGACTCCAACTCAAAAAAAAAAGATGCACCCTCTGATCCTTCACTGTATTTCTTCTTCAAGTCTTCATACAGGCCTGTAGCTTTCTCTTGATTCCATCATTAAGCTGAGCATGACTCAAAGCTGATGCTGATCTGTAACCACACACTGAGAAGGGTCTCCCTGACCTCCATCACTTTTCCACACTTCTTTGATACTATCGTTGTCATCATCAGCACAGCTGACTGCACATATTCTGTAGAATCGTGCCAATGGTTGAACGCTTCATGTGTTATAAGAACAAGTGACGAGGCACACCTCATCAACAAGGGTACCTGCATAATGAATATTTGTATACCTAACCCTGAATTGTACCCCGTATCTTTAAAATTAAAAATTGAGCCGGGCTCGGTGGCTCAGCCTGTAATCCCGTGCCTTTGGGAGGCTGAGGTGAGTGAATTGCCTGAGCCCGCGGGTTCGAGACCTGCCTGGGCAACTTGGCGAGACCTCATCTCTACAATAAATCAAAAATTAGCTGGGCGTGGTAGCGCACGCCTGTAGTTTCGGCTACTTGGAAGGCTGAGGCGGAAGGATCGCCAGAGCCCAACAGGTCGAGGTTGTGGTGGCCGGGAGTGGCCACTGCACTCCAGTCTGGGCGACAGAGTGAGACCTCAACTCAAAAAAAAAATAAAAATAAAAATAAATAAATAAATAAATAAATAAAATTAAATTAAAAATTGAAAAAAACAAAAAGTGACATCTACCATCTTTTCGCCTCACTCCACTTTCTCAATTATTTTCACTTTCGTTTCCATCATTCTGACTTGGTGCTTCTTAGCAGTACCAGTTACATCACAGTTGCTTTTAAACTTATTTCTGCACATCCTGGGCTTGAAATAGAGATACTGCCGGGTGAGGTGGTTCATTCCTGTAATCCCAGTATTTTGGGAGGCAGAGGCGAGAGACTTGCCTGAGCTAAGGAGTTCAAGACCAGCCCGGGCAACTTGGCAAGAGCTCGTCTCTACAATAAATAAAAAAATTAGCTGGGCATGGTGGTGCATGCCTGTGGTTCCAGCTACTTGGAAGGCTGAAGTGGAAGGATCGCCTGATCACAGGAGGTTGAGGCTAAGGTGGCCGTGAGCGTGCCACTGCACTCCAGCCTGGGTGACAGAGTGAGACTGCAACTCAAAAAAAAAAAAAATAGAGATACTGTACTACTGTATTCCATACAGTACTGTCCAGTGAAGTACACAAAAGCACAACCACTTGTAGAGGATATACATGACAATGTACACCAGACACATGAACTAATGTACATAATTGGACATGCGGACATGTATTCACATCTTTGAAAGTTCGCAAGTTGAAAGTTCATATATAGGAGACTTACAATATTATATATGTCTTATATATCTCTTACATGTATTCTTTTGTAGATACTGAAATTATGCTGAAAATATAAGGTATGAACTAAAGGATGTGACATCTGGGATGGGTGGGGTGAGGGGACAGAAAGTACCAGGGAGGTGATGATGGCAGAAATTGAGTACTGGGTTCATACACATTTGCTCTACTTTGCAAACAATAAAACAGATTAAAAATAGCATAGGAAAAAATACATTTAAACACATTACAAAACACACTTAAGAAGAAAGTGTAATAATAGTTATTATCCTTATAATTCATTCATCCCACAACAATTTCTCCATTCATCCGATAAATTTTTTTTTTTGAGTTGGGAGTCTCACTCTGTAACCCAGGCTGGAGGGCAGTGGCATGCTCACAGTCACCACGGCCTCAACCCGCTGGGTTCAGGTGATCCTTCCACCTCAACCTTCCAAGCAGCTGGAACTACAGGCAAGCACCACCATGCCAGGCTAATTTTTTGATTTATTGTAGAGATGAGGTCTCGCCAAGTTGCCCTGGCTGGTCTTGAACCCACGGGCTCAGGCAATCCTCTCACCTCAGCCTCCAAAATGCTGGGATTACAGGCATGAACCACTACGCCCCGCCTCATGCGAGAATTTCAAAAGAAACAACAGCCAAGATTAAATCAAATGTGAGAATGTACATCAAAGGCCAAACATTGATCCTGCCCGTAATCAATACAGACAATGACAGTGATTGATAGGAAAATGGCCCTCACCCTCAGTGCCACTGTTGGGTTGACAATAACATCATGACCCACCAAGCACCTGTTCTGCCTCATGCCCCCTGCAAAACACTTGGGGCATCTGAAGTCCCCTGCTCTTGTCCAGCACCTGGCATATTAATCCTTTGACCCAATTTTCTCTGTCCCTTGAACCGAGTACAGTAGAGTTCAGCAAACAGTATTCCTAACAGGCCAGAGGGGAAATAGTTTTGCCTCTGCTAGTCCGCTAACTACCTCATGCTCTGCCCTATGGGGAAAATGGCCAAAGATGATGTGTAAATAAGTGTGGATGGCTGAATACTGATAAAACTTTATTTTCTTTTTTTTTTTTTTTTTTTTTTTTTGAGTTGGAGTCTCACTCTGTCGCCCAGACTGGAGTGCAGTGGCCGCTTCCAGCCACCGCAGCCTCAACCTGCTGGGCTCCGGCGATCCTTCCGCCTCAGCCTTCCGAGTAGCCGGAATTACAGGCATGCACTACCACGCCCAGCTGATTTTTTGATTTATTGTAGAGATGAGGTCTTGCTGCCCAGGCGGGTCTCGAACCCGCGGGCTCATGCAATCCACTCACCTCAGCCTCCCAAAGGCGCGGGATTACAGGCTGAGCCACCGAGCCCGGCTAAAACTTTATTTTCAAAGACAAGCAGTGGGCTGGATTAGGCCTAGGGCCTGTAGTTTGTCAACCCCTGTGGTAGAACTAGAAGCAGTGGATGGGCTGCTCTCCATAAAGTACTTAAGGTATATAGCCTGATACACAGTAAGCATTCCCAAACAATCTGCTATTGTATTTACAGGTTACGTGCATGTGTATTGGTAGGTATGCCATGACAATGCGTCACATTTCCACCATTACAGCATAAATCACAAAGCTGCTATCTCTCTTGGCTTGTTCTATTACATTAGGAGCTCCCCAAGTATGGCCTCATCTGCTTTGTCCATTTCTGTTCCACTCCTACCCATTGCAGGGTGTCTGCAATACTTTTTTTTTTGAGTCAGGATCTCACTCTGTTGCCCAGGTTGGAGTGCAGTGGCACAATCATGGCTCATCACAGCCTCAAACCTCCTGGGCTCAGGTGATCCTTCTGCCTCAGCCTCCTGAGTAGCTGGGAATACAGGAACCGCCACTACACCTGGCTAATTTTGTTTTTAAGTATTTTGTAGACACAAGGACTCTCTCACTATGTTGACCAGGCTAGTCTCAAACTCCTAGACTCAAGCAATCCTCCTGCCTGGGCCTCCCAAAGTGATGAGATTACAGGTGTGTGCCACTACATCTGGCAGATACACATTAATGATTGTTTTATTTTACATCCAGGTAATCCATACAGACACACATATACAAATAACACCACAGAGGCCTGCAGGCCCACTGTTAGAGCACAATGCTCCAAACAGTCCGTGTGATTGTGAATTCCAGGTGACCTAGCCAATCTGTCTTAGCCATGACTGTATCTGCTGACCGCAACACAGGCCTAACATCCTGTAAGCCCTCAACAAACATTCAAGTGACCACATCCATCAGGCCTGGTTTCTGGACAAGGCTGGGACTCACCTTGAGGGAAGGGATGTCCTCGGCGCGGATGACAAATTCGTCCCTTTCCCGGAAGATGCCCTCTCCGCCGCTCTCCCCCGCCTCCTCGTCCGTCTCCCCACACACAGCTGCTGTTTCCTGCTTCTTGGCCAGGTGCAGGGGCCGGGCATCAGGTAGCTCAGGGTCCTCAGGGGACGGGGCAGCAGGCTCCTCTGGAGGCGCAGTGGGCGGAGCAGCGGCTGGTGGGGGTGGTGGTGGAGGCGAGGGCA